ATAGCAGTATAGGCAAACGAGAGGAAAGGCAAAATCAAAAGCATAAAAACAATCATAAAAATAGGACAAGGGAGCACCAGGATTTGTTTGCTTTGTCACTCTAAATCTTTCCAAATCACCGAGTACTTTTCTTCCCTTAGAAGCTTTTTTTGCCTGGCAATGAAAGCCTCAACCGTGTTGCGAAACTGCTCACTGCTCATTCCATCTTCAAGATATGAATTCTTCACCATTTTCTTATCAGACTTATTGGGTTTTCTGTACTTCTCTGACTGCAATCTCCTGAGTTGCTGGCAAGCTTTATTGCAGTTCACCCGCTTAAGATTCTCTGATTGAGTTCTTTTATAATTGTTTGTTCCATTTGAAGTATGCACAATTATTTTCTCTTCACTTACACTCTTCTTACTTTGTTTTTCGATTTCATATCGATGAATTGCCTGACTTTTCTCACTCTTCTCAACAAATTCTTCGTAAAGATCAGTTCCTGAAGTGGAATCTTGAGCTGAAAACTGCCCAGCCTTTGCAAAGAGAGTGATGATTATAGCATTCCCAAGGATGAACACAAAGTGAGGGCTCACAAGAACAACTGAGAAGCCCCGAAAATACTCACCAGAATTTTTAACAGCTACTGGGAGATGAGTAGTGAACCTGGAGATTAATACCAGAACAACACAAACCTCAACAAACCTGAGCAAGTTTGCTATCTTACACAACTGACGATGTTTCAAGATAGCGTTTCTCTTCTCAAGTTCCATGTCAAATGTATCCATTTACGAAAGGAATTCAAATGAAAGCCCAAGGCAACAATTGGTTTTAATTTTTTTTCTCTTTTGGGATGACAAATTCTAATGTATGATCACTCGAAAGAGAATTGGATTAGCATGGAAGCTTGAGCATCAACCGTCTCTCTAAGAAGAGAAGAGAAGCAGTTCAAGCAGGCTACTAAAATCATAGTAGGTGCTGAGTAGGATTTGGTGATGAAGTTCGTGGAAAAAACAGATTGAAAGGGAAGGTGGCTAGGTGGGGATGGAAAAAACAGAGGAAACAGAGAGAGCTATTATCTACTCTGTTTGCTCTGTACGGATTAAATTCTATTCTCCTCTTTGTTCTTTGGTTTGGGAATATTTATGTTCTTGAGTACTTCAAATTTGTACATGGATGCTATTTATAGAGCAGAGGAATATAAACTTTTTATATTTCATTTTTTTTTTCTCTTTCTTTTTTATTTGAATTTTTCAAAAGAAAAACACATTATATTCTTTCCTTTTTTACAAAAGAGGATACCATATGAAAATAAAAGAAGAATATATTGTGAGTGATATTTTTTATAAATCACTAACTTAATCTCAGATTCATATTTATTTCATTCACTAACATAAATTTTGAAAAATATGCTGTTATAGTGTTATTGGTTTGTTTTTCCACAGCATTATTGCTATTTTATCTCATCAAAGTGCAAACTGCTTTAATTTGCACTACCCCTTTGCTACCTTTATTGAATTTCATGTTTTTCATGCTACAATCAGCCTGTCAGGCAACAAGCTTTTACAAGAAACAGCAAAATCCATGAATGTGCCGTTAACTTGCCTTTCATGAAAGAATAGAACGCTGCAATCTATGGGGATATACTACAATTGTTTGTCTACTAATTTATTGTTTTTTCTTTTTATTGGGGGGGGGGGGTGGTTTGCTAATATGCTCACGAAGGCTATGTTTAGATGTAATTACACTTTCGAAGAGTAGCAATTAAGCTCTAATTATGATCATCAGCTAAATTTAAATACCAATTCAATAAGATTCATTTATTATAAATTTTTTATTAAATTTTTTTAATCATAATTATAATAATTTTTTTATTTTTAATTTTATTCAAATTAACTTTATCGTACGTTAAAATGACCTTAAATTTAAGTAATATATCATTAAAAAAAATCTCGTATCCAAATATAGATTTGATAATTTATATTATTATATCATATAAAATATTATATTTATATTATATTTTATATAAAAATAATATTTTATAATTTATATTAATATAAAAATATAATATATAATTTTTATTTTATTAAATTTATTTATATATTTTTAAAAATTTTAAAATTATATTATTTTTATTTATATTATTTCGTATCCGTATTTTAAATTATCATTTTTTTTTTTGAATTCATCTAATGCTGACCTTGACTTGTCCAGCCGATTGTTAAGTTGGAAATCAGCCACGTGGCATCACAGATAGATTCACCAATAAGTTTCCAGTAACCCTTTCCTTACTCACTAAGCCATTGCCACGTGACCTCAGACTTCTCGGAGTCCGATCTCAGCTTGCCTCAGACCCACTAAAGATAGAGTGAGAACTCTCTTGTCTTTTATCGCTTTTTATTTTGTATTGATGCCACGTGGTAATTGAATGTTTTAGTTTTAGCAGAACTTAGTTACCGGCTTCATTTAGTAATGCGTTTGAATTTTAAAATATAATTTTTGAACGTAAAAATATTTTGTGTTAAAATTATTTTTTGTCCATAAAAAATGAATCAATGGTTAAAATTAATTAAAAGGTGTGGTTATAGTTTAAAATTTATGATTTGAAAATAAAATAATTAAATATTCATTTAATTATTTTTTTGATAAAAATAATTTATTTTTTTCAAACATCATATACTTTTTAGATATTTTAATTTTTTTACAATAATACCAAATACTTAAAAATCTTAAATTATAATTTTTTAAAATAATTTTTATAACACTTTTATATGTACTTTTTTAAATTAAAATTTTTTAACTATAATAACAATATTACAGTAGAAATTTTTGTTTTAAAAAATGATTGATGTAGACATTAAAAGATACTTTTTTTTCTTAAAAAAAAAAGTAACTAAAGAACTAAAGATTGCTAATCTCATCCATTGTGCATGTGACACGAATTGTTTTTTTTTAGGAAAAAAAAAAAGCAACCATACTTTAGAAGGAACTAAGTAAATGGAGGAGGTTACAAATGGAAACCATTACAAGGACATTCAAAAGCATAACGAAAAAATTCTAATGAAAAAACTTTTATAACGATCTTTCAGTTATCTCAATTATGTACTGAGATTTTATATTTATATATATATATATATATATTTCTTTGCATATTCTTTCAGATTAATTTGACACCTCTATTTTTGTTTTCCTGATTGAGTTGAGAATGCCCAATTAAGGAAATTCCTTTTTCAAAATAAAGCCGGTGAACAATAAAAACTAGTGGTTCACACTATTATAAAGAAAAAATCACATTTAATAATAGTGAAAATTTTTGTTTTGATAAACAAAATTAATAAGATAATATATATTTTCTAGAGTATAATAAAAACTAAAAAATAATTAAAAATGTGACAATCTTTTAATTTTATTTTAAGAATTAAAAAATTTTATTATTGGTGCATTAAAAACGAACTAAAAAAAATAATATATAAGATTTCATTTTCTTATATAATGTAAGTAGAATTTTTTTTTAACTCTATAAATCAAATTAAGAAACTAACATATCTTACTTTTTTAATACGTCCTATGATATGTCACCTTATTTTTTTAGTCAAATATATTAAATAAATTCTAACACATCTCACCCTTTTAACCTCACTTTAAACTTAAAAAACGAATTAAATAAATTTAGTTCCTGAAAAAATCGGATCCTTTTGTTCGTAAGGATTTAGTCTCCGTTTGGATTATATTTCATTTTGGGTGTGATATAATTAAATTCATTTTGGCATTAGTTAAATTCAATGTTATTTTCAATGAAATCTATTTAATATAAATTTTTCATTGAAATTTTTATTTTCAATTGCAGTTATAATAAATTTTTTTAATTGTAATTACAATAATTTTTATTATTATTTTCAAACTCACCAAAATTAATTTTGCCATTCAATCAAATAGAGTCTTAATTAAATGTAAACATGTCTTTTAAGAAACTAATATCAATTTCCTCACTTGTAAAGGCTTAAAAAAAAATCCATAACCATTTGATTGATTTGATTAATATAATAATAATAATAAAGTTTAATGTTTGACGATCTTTTTTGAGTTGATGGAACATCAAACTCTTTCCTCTCCGCTAGGAGTGGGAGCTGATTCAATAATACGAGAGCAAGGAATCACATATAATTCTTAATTTTTGATTATCTGATTTCAGAATTATGCCTTTGGTTTGCTTGCCTGCCCGCCCACACCCTCGTATTTCAGTACACGTTGGTTTCCTAGATTATTGAGTTGGATCCCACTAACTTTTTTTCTTTGCTCCCTTTATTTTGATTCTTTTTTTATGAACATCCTAAACCTAAAACAAATAAAATAAATCCTTCATTTTCCTATTTCCTTTCTATATAAACAGGAAAAAAAAAAGATATGCCAAAAAAAAAAGAAAATACTTGTTGATTAGATGTTAATTATCTCCTTTAATTTTGCTGATTAATTAGATCTTATTATCTTAATAACGATAATTAACTTGATCATTTATCAATACAATTATATATTATTATCATTGAGTTTTCCTTCATGCATATGTTCTATCTTTCACCCTTCTCTTTGAAACAAAAGATACAAATATATTGTGGCAGATTAGTGGCTTCAACTTCGAGCAATCATAATTTATGTATGCATTTTTCTTGAATTCGTAGCATATCACCCAGCAACCGGCAAGAATCAAGCAGTACTGAAATTTGAAGTCAACCAGAACCTTACTCAAATATAGTACCAGTAATATTTTTGACTTCAGAAACAATAAGAGCATGGATTTCGGAATACTAAACTGGGAATTGAATGATATGATGATTGATATATCATCTTTGTTTATATCCTTCATTTGTTTTATTATCCATCAAGTAATGTCTCCTATAAATATCCTAACATCCTGGCTCATTGGCAAAAGCAAGAAAACATGGCTAAGACTCTTAAATCTGTCCACTTATTTGCTCTCTTCTTCAGTACGTGGATATTTTCACATTTATTAATTTGGATCCCAGGCTATATATATACCAGCTGTAGAAGCAAAACTATGCTCAAAACGTAGCAGGACATGGAAAGGCGTGTGTCTCAGCTCAAACAACTGTGACTACCAGTGCAGGAAACAGGAGAAAGCAGTGCATGGTGCTTGCCACTGGCAGTGGCCTGGATTTGCATGTTTCTGCTGCTTCAATTGTCATTGAGATAAAAGCCATTACCGACATTATATTACCCTTTGTGGATTAAGTCAGCATTCAGTCAAATCTAGCTTTACTAAATAAATAAGAAATCGTTTCTGTCGAAACCAATCAATAGTCCTAGTTATATTGTTGTCCTGATTGCTCCTTGTACTTCGGGTCATCAGTGTTTTGTAATAAATAATAGTTGTACTTCAATTAATGCAAAGGTGGCCACCAAGTGGCTTTTGATGGATATTTGCAGGCTTAATTTCTCCATTTTCTTTAATTTTCCAACCAAGATTGTTTTGTTTTTCGTGTGTAAGCTAAAATTTTATATCTCACAATAAGTTATTGAGGCGTTTTTTATCAAAAGATAAAACCATGTCAATCCCTCGTAGCAAATAATATATTATGCATCAAGCCACGTCAGTTCAATAATTCTTGCATCAACGATATCCAAAAGAAGTAGGAAGTTCCCTGCTACGAAGAACAAACCTGCATATATATTATGCAGAAAAAGTAGCAGTCACCAAAGGAAAAACAAAAATTGCAGAACTTAACCGCACCCAGTTCTGACAAAAAGCAGTACTAAAAGGATCTCTAGCAGTGTCTTTACTCTTTAAGCCCCATTAAGCTTCCCTATGGTAACTCCAGCAACCTTCGTCAGGAACTGAATTTCCACAAGAAACTGAAACTGGATTAATTCCAACCATAGCATCTGAGTTCCTTAGAACCCTGAATCTCTAAATTAGAATGTTAAACTGCCAAAACCATTTTTCTCGTTCTATTGGTTAATTTAACTAATATTACTGTAAATTATATTCAATTAATGAAGTAAAAGATATTTTTCTGTCGTCTTCTCATAAATCATATTAAGTTATGTCACAAGTCAATCCTCATGTCATGATATTTGAACATGAAATTTTAAAACCCTTTCTTATCATTAAATTAAAGCCTCATTTGTCTGTCACCGGTGCTAAATCTTCAACCTTTAAATTTTTTTATCAGTTATAGCCGGGCACATTACTTGGAGACAGTTTAACCGGAAAACTTTGCATTACTTATCACTTATGTGGGAAGCAAAATTCAAAGAAACGCATGCAATATCACGTAATCCGCTGGCTATCTTTTGTTGCGATCTTAATTTATACAAGCATTACAATGGATCGGTGCTATTTAAATTGTGAAGAATTTGATTCAGCATCATCTCTAGAATTTGATTAACTTAGAAAATTAAGTAGGGTAAAGATATATACATATCCTTCTGATTAGTAAAGACCCTGATGGTTGGATATCTATTAAATAAACAGGATTCTATATTAATCTGCAAAATCTGACCTTTTTTCTCCTAATGACAATTCCCAAAAATCATAAGAATTAGAATAACTAAAACTTAAATGAAGTACTTTGAATTTGTTGCTTCCTTCTTTGCATGTTCTGAAAGGTAACTACCTACTGATTTTTTTTTTTCTTTTCTTGTTCATCTAATCTTGTTCCAAAGCAAGATTTGGACCAAATCAGATATAGATGAACTGAACCTAGATTGGCTATAAATAACCCATAATGTTTGCATCTAATCTTGTCCCATTGAAAACATCATTAGTACCCTAAAGCTGAAACAAAACATGGCTAAGATCAGTACTCTGAAGCCTGTTTACTCAGCTGCAATCTTCTTGATCCTCATCTTTCTTGCTAACACAGATTAGTAGTAGTACAAGTACTTTTGCTTTTGCCCATTTCTAGAATTACTTAGCAATTGTCTGTAGGAAATGTCAGTGAAAATTAGTGTATATCTTAGACCAGAAATTTTGCCATAAGTCGTGTAAATTGTTTAGGTGTTTTATAGCTGATCATCTTAATTTGTTTGATGCTGATTGGACAGTTTGCAGAGGTGAGGGTGGCGGAAGCAACATGTGTAAGGCGGAGCAAAACATGGTTCAGGTTGTGTGTATATTCTAGCCACTGTGCCGATCAGTGCAGGAAATAGAAGAGTGCCAAGCTTGGTGGATACTGTCGCTGGGATGGTCGGGGACGGGCTTGTTTCTGCAAATTCTGCTGGTTAAATCATCAAAAATCAAAATCTCTAATTGATGATCGTTATTAATTTTGTACTGTAAAACTATTAGTATCATGCCAAAATAATGCTGTTATCACACTTCTGGCCAGTGGTAATTCAGGCTTATAAAGCAACCAAAGCTGTTTGAAATTGATATAATTAATGATGCTTGATGTTAATGTTGTTGGATGAATCTATAGGGAAATAGTAGTTCGTCTGTGCTTCGGTTGATGAAATTTCCATTGAAAAGGAGCAGAAATATTACCTTTCCAGCCTCTAGGCCCCATTGCCAGCAGGGATGACAAGGGGATACGTCGGAACGGATTTTTGCTCACTTCGAACCCAACGTGATTTATTATATACAAAATTTGAATTTCACTTGATTCGATAATTTTTTTTTATTTTTTTATACCGGAATTCAATTCGATCTGACATTATATAAAATTATATTATATTTGATCCGATCCGAAATTAATAAAATATTATTTTTAATATAAATATAAAATTATATATATAAATAAATTTAAATTTAAATAAATAATTAAAAAATAATTTTTATATATATTGGGTTGAGAGGGTCAGGTTTGCCTAAAACCCGATCTTGACCTGACCTCGAATTTTTTTTTTATATTACTCGATTCAATCCGATCAGATATTCGATTTTCAAATAAAAAAAGACCAATCTTAAAATGTAAGGCCGGGTTAAAACCTACCAGTTTCAGGTTAGATTGACTTCTTTAATTGCCAGAAGCTTATGAGTTTATTTAATGTTCTTTTCTAATTTTAGTTTGAATATTCTTGATATAAAAAAGGTTTTAATAAGTAATTTTAGTTTTTATAAATTCTTTCCTTTCATGTGATTTATTTAATTAATTTATATACTATATAAAAAAAGTAATTTTAGTCTAATTTCTCGTTGGCAAAAACAAAATCTAATCTTTCATATTATTTTTCTAACAAATATCAATTGCAAATAAAATTACCTCAAAAAAGTATTTTGATAATTTCACACATCTCAAGATATTACAGTAATTTTGAATGCATAAAAAATTATCAGATATTTTAAAAATATGATGTGAAAAATTTCACGAAAAATCGATTTCGAAAAAATTAAATTACAAAAATATTCTTAAAAGGTATTTTGGTGATTTCATTTTAATGATTTCACATTTTTCGAAGTACGATTAAAATTTTTAATATTTTAAAAATATCAAATAAAATTAAATTATTTTATAAAAATAATAATAATAACAACAAAAAGATTTAATAATAAAAAATATTTAAATTAAAATTTATTAAACCATATGAAATAAGCATAGTTTCCCTTCCTTTTTCAATCAACAGTATCGACTATCTTATGTTATATTATATTATATTATATATATATATATACATATATATATATATGTATACCTTTGAAATAAGAAGCTGTCTTCAAAATTAAAAATTCTCTTTCTCTTTTATGTATATGAAATAATTAGGGATGGTAGCCTCGTCCGTATATGATGGATTTTGATTCGATTTCAAATATGATCTGATTTTTTTAAGTCAATTTTTTTTTTTTGAAAATTGAATTTTGAATTGAATCGGGTCGAATAATAGATCAAAGATATATATAATTATTTTTAATTATTTTATTTTATATTTATATATTTTATTTTTATATTAAAGAATAATATTTTATTAATTTTAAGTAAAATAAGATACGATTTTATATAATATTGAATTAAATCAGGTTCAGATATTAAAAAAAAAATCAATTGAATTAGATTTATATATTATAAGTATAAAGTCGAATCTAATTCAAGCAAGTAAAAATCTACTCTAACTCAACTAATTGCCATCCCTAAAAATGACCATTGGTTGTTTAATTTGGTATATACACTCAAATTATTATTGCAACCACAACTAAAATTTCACAATAGTGATGGCCAAGAAGTTGACTATCTCTGGAACTTCACCTAATAGGCTAGAGCTAATCCCAGGAAGTTCCTGTTGTATGAATTATTATGTTAAATCTTTAGCATTGGCTTGACAGCAACACTGAATTACAAGCTGCAAACGAATATATACACTAAACTTTGCCATTTTGATTGAACTATAATGTTTCAATCACCATGCAACATGAGGATTTGTGGCAGACGAATAAATGTCAATCAAAGTTGTAGTTTAAATGGTTTAAGGATAAGTCAAAAGGAATTTAAATTTGCACTAGGACTTAAAATTACTGAATTAAAAATTTTTTAATAAAGCACGTTACAGCTTAAAGGTAAGAAAAGGCTTTTACATGAATTTTGCTATAAATTTAAAATCATGTAGAGATTTAAATGAAGATGATACTCAAATAAAACAAAATTATGGTGCTTCAACCTTTGTCATGATCTTCATTATTCAATTGAAGATTAAATTTAATTTATTGAGCAACTAACCTTATTAATTACTTCCAGGATTTGACTACTCTAGAGATGAAGCAAGCTTTGGTTACAAATACCCCCAAAATCATCACATTTTCCAAGCTAGTCAAAACTCCAAACACCCATTGGAGGAAAAGCACAAGAAATCATACTGCCGTACGCCTGTCTATTACTTTGCAATATTGCCCATCTTCATCATCCTCGTTGCAAATACGGGTGAGCGCAGCCTTACACTCTATTTCTTAGTAAGTGTAAGACACCAATTTTGATTATTGTATTTTTTTATTAATATTAATAATAATATTATTAAATAATTAATTAATTAATTTAAAATAAAAAAGAAAAAAAAGTCCAAAAAATAAATCTTTTGGTTTTAACTTTGGTAGAGTGACATTTTTTTTTACACTGTTTAACTTGGTAGCCTGAAGTTTGATGATCAAAAGTCATTGGATAGACATAATTTTTCACAAAAAAAGATCCAAGAAGATTCGGGATCTTGAATACCAAAAGCTCTATAAATAGAGCTAAGTTATGCAAAAACAAGAAGTCAGAGAGAGAACAAAAAAAGAGAACACATAATAAAAAAAATAGCAAACATAAAAAAAAAAATTTCCCAAGAATGAA